TGAGCAACTCCACCACATTGAGAACGTCCCCAGGGACACGAGGTGAGCAGCAGCCCCTTTGCAAGGACCTTGGGGGTTGGAAAGTGGCCCCAATACCAGCGCCCAAGGAAGCGGGGACACGTTAGAGGCAGGGAAGAAAAACACCGGGTTTCCCCGGGACAGAAAACGCTCTTCCATCTCACGAACCGTGACTCAAAGACAACTCAACACATCGAAACACCTTCAGAAACTGTGATTACCACCCGTTCTCCAAAACTGGTGGGTCTGAAACCCCACCGAACCCCACCTCCAAACCAAGAACTGAACACCCCTTCTCCAAAACTGGTGGGTCTGAAACCCCACCGAAACCCACCTCCAAACCAAGAGCTGCTCTTTGGGAATCCCCTCGAGTCAAAACACGTTTTTAGGGGGATCTGTCAGCGTTAGGGAACAAGCAGAGCAAGCTCCAGGCACGCACCCCATCGCAGGAAAAAGCTGAATACATATTTTTTGCAGGGATCGTTCCGCAGCGCAGCCAGCTCCAGGGACGGCTGCAAGCCGGGCATTTTTTCCAACCCTCAAAAGATCTCGGCCAAGATAGTTCTGGGTTTGCATAAGGCAGTAAAAGTCTTTCGACAGCTCAACTCCCAGATCCTTGGGATGTGACGAGCAGGGACGAGCACAAACAGCCTTATCTAAGGACAGAGCCACAGCAGCGCAGGGGAAGGAGAAAGCTAAATATAAACCACCGCACGGCTTCAGAGACAGCTGGAAAAGCTGCACGTTCAAATCCCTTCCCAGTCCGTAGAATATTTATGGCATCTTCTGAGGAAGTTAATTTTAGCCTCATTTGGTGTGGACTCAAAATTAGGTGGTCAGAATAAAAGGCAAAAAGATGAAATGGAGGAAGAAGGGGTTGTCCCGCCGCTGCCCAGCGCGGATCATGCCCCAGAGCTGTGACAGAAAGGGACCCGCTCGCTCCTTCCCTGGAGCGGGACTCGGGGAGCTGGGCATGACAGGGCTGTGGTCCCCATGCCACGTGGGCTGGCAGAGCTCCGGGGAAGGGAAGCCCAACAGCAGGTCCCTGCTTGGCCAGTGTGACACCGGCCAGGGACCGGCGTCCTCAGGGGACCTGCGCTGGGGCACCTGCCACAGTCCCGAGGAGGGGAGGGCAGAGACACCCAGCAGCAGCAGGGAGGTGACAACGAGATGGGCATTTCTGGTGTCAGGGAGGGTTGGATAGAAACCTTACGTAAGGGACTGGGGGGAATTGAGCCTCCAAGCAGATCTGGAGCGTGTCACCGCGAGCCAGCCGATGGCCAGGGGACGCAGG